CCCCCACCCACCGCCGGAACACCTCCACCGCATACCTTCATCGGTTATTTGATTGGCTCTACCCCCGGCGGCGGGCGAGAAGAGAAAAGTTATCTTGAGGAACGGCCCGAAGAGCGGCTCAGCTCAACAGCCCCGCCCGCCCCGCCCCCTCGCAGGACCAGAATCGGCATCAGCAGCAGCACAGATCGTAGTTGCGGGACTCTGCACCTTGTCGATGTGACATGGGGTGACGGCGGCGACCCATCGCCCTTGTCCTCGAGGGCGATCACCCCGGTCCACGGCCAGAGATCCGCAGGGGAGCCTTTGAAGAGCGGGGGCGGGGGAGGGAGGGGCGGTCACTACTTAGGGCTCGACTTAGGGTCCGGGGCAGCAGCAGCGGGGGGCGGGCGTTCTGGGGCAACAGAAAGAAGCAGCACGGGTCACCTGACGGCGAGGCAGGTAAGGTATCCGCCCCCGAGAGGGAGGAGCCGCTCTGAGGGTTTTATGACGAGTGTTGCAAAACTGGCCGGCGGGGGCCGAGGAGCGTCCATCCCGCCAGTGAGCTACTGCCGGCATAAATTGCTGGCCGTTTCTCGACGTCGCATTTTAGCGGCGTTTGCTTACCGAATCGACGGCTCATTCTTTTCGCCGCGGCACGGCGCGCAGGGGTGTACAAGGCATGTGGCGTGGCGTAGCGTGGCGTGGCCCCATGCGACGCGGCGCGTGTGTTTGTTTATCATCCTCGGCGCTTGCCTCCGCTTTTGCAAACAGCCATCTGCTCTGCCCGCCGCGTCCATCTCCGCCATTTTAGACGACCCGCGCCCTCGGTTTGAAGTCCGTCTAAGAGGATAGAGTGCGAGGGGGAGATTGGGCAAAAGTCCGAGAAACGTAGTGTTTCGGCAAAAATTAAGCAGAACAAAAATCCTATCTCCAAGACTGTTTGGCGCTCCGAAGCCGGGCGGGCGCGAAGCAATTCATCACTAACTGTGTGGACTCGGCGCCTGCGGCCCGCGGGGCTTCCCCCTTCCCTCTCTCTCGCTCTTTCACCAGGCGAGACGGGCCACGGGCCGGGCGCGAGCGAGAGCGAGCGAGAAAAAGACCAAAGACAGTACTTTCGGGCGCAGCCTGCGGGACGCGCCGCGCCTCCGTCGCGTCATCGACGCGAGTTCCGTTGATGGATTGGCCGCGTCCAATTCGTTCAATCTGAAACGCCAATGATGACCGCCGAGCGGGTAGAGGGGCCGCCGCCTCCGGGGCCCGCGGGCGCGGCACGGCCAGGACCTCCGAGCCACGCCGTCAGAACGTTGCACCCCCACCTCGCACGGCGGCGCCCCCGTCCGTCCCGCGACGTCATCGCCAGGGTCAGGAAGCAACAGTCCGTCAGCGCGACCGAGCGCGACGAAGCAGTTGTGAGCCAGTGTTGCCAGAAAAGTTAGGCAAAAACCGCTGGAGCACACCTGTGTGTGACGGACGGGTATTTCCGCCTGCCTACTAGGCAACGTACGGACACGCGGGCAACTGTGTTGCCTACGTGTCAGGCGGAGGGCGGAGACACCGTTTACCGTGGTGCCGCACGGTCGTCCGGCGCGAATAGGCCGCCTGAAAAGCAGTGCAGTATAGTTCGCGGCCTATGCGGGACACCCTGCATGTATAGGAGACGAGCCTAAAAGCGGAGGATGCCAAGCGATGTACAGTACACTCTCGCGAGTTTCATTTTCATCGCAAAGAAATTAGCGGTTGATCCGAACGTCAGGGTCAGGGTGCGCATAGCGTCGTGTCGGATTCAGCAGCGGGTAAGCGGGTGTGGGGAGGGGAGGGGACGGGGTAGCGAGCAAAGTCGGGGCCACAAAGAAATACAAACAGCCCGGACAAATGTTGCAATTTTTTTCCTTCCTTTCCTCCGCGGCTTTGCCTCTTTGGGCGTGACATGCAATTACACATCAAGAAGTGATGTGGATGAACCGAATGTCGGGCAGCTGTTGTCCCGAGCTTTATTTACTCCCCGCCTAGTCCCCGCGGACAAAAGCTTCCTAAAGCTGTCCCCGACGAACCACACACGTCCCGATGTATAAACACAAGTGCGCGGCGAGCGCGCGCGCGCACACACACATACACATGCACACTATTGCGAGGGCGCGACTTACAAGCGGTGCAGTCTAGCTCTTGCTGCCACAGGCCGAGCACAGCGTACTAGGAGGCGAGAGGTGAGTTTCCTTAGTCAGCTTCCACGCAACATCGGATCAGCAACTGGGAACATTAACATTAATGTTGTTAGTTTCAGTAACAATACAGAATTTAATCAGTCAAAAACTACTGCACGCTTGAAAACTGAGATCGGAATTTTAATGTAAGGGAAAATTCAAGTGGTAAAGCAGTAATGTACCGCGACCAAGGATATCAATGAATAACCATTATCTGTACGAAGAGCAAGCTTAGCTGATGTACGATAAGTTTTAAATCTTTGAGCAGTCAATACATGAAGTTCAATGTAACCAAAATCCACTCATAATTTTTAGTGTACAATGTTAAGTAAGTGTCATCCTGCAGAACGTAACTTTGAAAAAGGAATGAGATGGAATGACTCACATATTAACAAACAAAATTTTCTGTAAAAATTAAACAATTTTACTTACCAGCGCCTAAATCCAGTTGATTCAAAAGACTGTTAGTTGTGGTTAGTTTAGTCGAGACGATTTGTCCACTTGAGTCTCGAACTGAAGAGATCAGGTTGAGTCAGGTCCAGGAAGGGATGGATACCATAACCTCCAGGTGTTCCTTCAGGCACGCCTTTCTGTCAAAAGAAAACCGAGCATTGAATGGATGATTGAGACACAGACTTCAGTGAAAGGCACATCTCTGTAATCACAATAGGTTCATTACAACCAAACCACATAGGGTAGCTTCCAGAAAGTGACGCCATTCCATGGTCCGAGACACGACGCCGAGATACCTAGGAAATGGGGAATAGGTAGAGAGAGGGAATGCCCGAAACACACCCCTCCGGTACCAACTTATGCATAATAACATAGATTCAGATTCATATTGCTATTGCTTCGCGTAAGACTGATACTCTTGTACATGTATGAGAAACTGCTCACCTCAATCTGTTCGTCGGCATATTTTAGAATTTAAAGTTTTCCAATAACGAAAACAATTTGAGCGTGTTCAACTTAGCTTTATTGGAAAGACAAAATTTAGGAAACCCAGCAAGCCTTGGGACAAGAGGAGTCATCAGCGCGTGTATGCAGTTGTTACCTAACCTTTTGTGATGAAGTTGTGCAACGGCCAGTGCATCACATCACCAATCACCGGTCACCGGTGGCAGTTTGGTTGCAGGAATTGTGTCGTGTTAACGAGAACCAACGAATCCAGCGATGGCCGATGGAAATAGAGCACTTCTGGTGAGTCAGCTTCTTCTCTTTCCTTACTATACGAGCTTTACAAATCAAGTCAGGTCGAGTTTTGCGAACTCCCATTACACAGTGAACAAGGTTATGGTTGAACCCTGTTGCACTCAACCAAGCGCCTTCTTAATCGGTCAGTCATAACCGACTGAGGAAAGATGATTGAACGTTTTTACGAGTAAACTCACGGTGATCTTGCTAATCTCGCTCGGTTAACGTCGTCTGCTCCGCGGCTCCGTCTAACCTCTTTTTAACCCCGCTCAGGGCAGTGTCCTGCTGTTCTTCTTGTCGGTGGGGATTATGGGCACTGCCATCTACGAGTTCATCATTAAACCGGAAGCGGCAGCCCTCGCGGCCGCCGAGGCCGCCGTCGAGGCCGCCGCGGCAGACCCTGGACTCCCGCACCGCACGGCGGCGACGCCGCCAGACGAGGAGAGGGGCTCCCCGACGACGCCTCGAGTCACGGCCCTCGCCTCGTCCGCGGAGGCCACCATCGCCGGCCTCGGCGCCGTCGACCAAAATCTGAATCAGGGCCCCGCATGAAGCAACCAAAAGAAGTACGGCCGGCAACGCATTCGATAAATTTACGACTTTGAAACGAGGAGTATTAAACGATTGACGAGGAGGTGCTCTTCCAGCTGGTGGCCGCGGCCGGGCCCCGCGCCGGGTGCAGCCCGTCGGGCTTATCTTATCCCCTGGCCGTGTAGCGACACGACCGACCTCCGCTGGAGCCGACTGTAGCCGGGGCACACCGGATGGAGACGTGCAGGTCCTGGATATAAAGATGTGCTGGCATCGCGTCACCGGAGCCAAATCATCGTGATCCAAGGATATTTCTCGAACGGAAAAGAGTTTATCCAGCAAATTATTTGTAACACTTAGTGTCTTTCATTCATTAAGTAAAAAGGAAATGAATGCGAAGAATGTCATTCGGCGAGCGCACCGCACGGTGCTTACCCGTACCACCATCACCTCCTCCTCATGCTTGATCTGCTCAACGGGCTCGCTTATTGCATTCTGGGCTTCAATAGATATAGATCAATCGCTCGGCCTCGCCGAGAGCTTCGTTACCTCTGTCTGTGTGCGAGGCTAGGAGCGAGAGAGTGCAACGCATTCAAATCAAACTCCCCCCCCTCCCCCCAACCTTCCTCTTTCCCCCATTGCTCCGGGCGGAAGGAGCGGCAGCAGCACCTTGCTTCAGCTCGGTCAACAGCTGGTTGATTCGAGACACTGCTGCGCGGCCCTCTCTCGTCGTCGTGGAAGCTCCGGGGCAAGTCCTTAAAAATATTCCTCGTGCATTGTGTGCTGTTGCGATGCCTGCCCTACCACGCGCGACATAGACCACAAGACGAACAAGCGCAGAGAGCTCGATGGAAAACGCATCCCATTATAAAGATGAGCCTCACGTCTGTTTTTATTTTTTTTACCCCAACTTTTCTCAGCCACCTCGCCCGCTCCCTCCCCGCTCGCGCCCCGACCTGGACGATCAATCACACTCGCGGGGACCTCGATGAGCTCGAGTCCAACTTTCTCATACTCCGTCCGCGCCGACAACGCAGCGGTGACAATCCGAGTGAAGAATTACCGTGAAGGCGCTGGGGGTCATAGGCTGCCCCCC